GTTTCAGAGAGGTGAGGGGAATAAGAGGAAATTAAACATACCCCCACTCTCCAAAACCCCCCATCAATGTTGAAGTTCTAACTTACTGCACAAAAGCAAAGAAATTCCAGGGAAATTTTTCAAATGTTGGGCCTCAAGCTGGTGTGATATCAGAATCAGGTCCATTGGTGTTAGTGAGTTGGCACAACTGCAAATGAGGAAAGAATATTTTCCTGAATATCATTTTTCACTAGGGTTAGACCTGAATGAAAACTCCAGATGTGAATGAGACAAATTTTGAGGAAATTAGTTCTGTTTTCAAAATATACAGCTGTCCCTTGTCTCTACGGTGGACAGCTAAAACCCCAGTTCTGAAAACTCTTGTCTTCTCAGATTGCTGGCTTGTGCCCATCTTATTTAGAGTGAAGGCAATTGATGCCTCTCATTTTGGTGAAGTTTTAAAATGTTCTTCTTGTTGGGTGAGCAAACTGAATCTCAAGAAAGGAGTATCTAGGTTTGCAGTTAGCACTGCTCTGCTGCAGACGTGTATTTTCCATAATCTGAACTTTGTTGCTACCGCTGGGTAAGCGGTAGAGTTACTTTACCTGAACAGTGATAACAGACTGGTGCATAAACTTATTTTTCTTTAGTTCATTTGTTTTCCTTGTCCAGGGAACGGGCAGACCTAAGCTAAATTATATGTTTGTGTCGGGGTTGTTGAATCATGTGGCAGGAATCTCCATCATAGTAGGATACCCTACGGGAACGACAGGTGGTAATGAGTGTTGTTACACTGTTGGCAGATCAGTTTATTTTAACTTTAAACATTTTTAGCTTTTATTATTACTTTATTTTTTATTTGTAATTATTTCTTGCCTATTAAAAATATTTGGAAAATAAGTAAAAGGAGCTGATAATAAGATAAACAAATGAATCTGTATATTTTAAATGCATTTGTGTACACTATGCTGGCTTATGTTATTCTAGCCCTTTTAATATGCATAACATAGAAAGAACAGGATAATAATGTATGTAATTCAAAGGACGTGTCCAATTACAAGTAAAAAGCATTTTCCTTTAGCTGTTGCTGTAGTAACCAGGCAGTTTTCTAGATTTCTAAGGAAAACAGTTCCTGTAATTGAGTGAATGCTGAGGAGTGGGGTGTGTTTGTGTTTTTTCCCTAGAAGCTGAAAATATTAGAAGCTATGAGATTGCAAATTTTCTTCCAAAGGAAAGCTAGTGTCCTCCTAAATTGTAAATTGCATTTTTTCCTGAAATTTTCTTTACAAAGGTAACTCCTACTTCCAAAACCAAGGATTCATATCTCACTTTGCAGTCACTCTACAAAATGCAAGGGGGGCAGAGTGGATGACCCAAGTGGGTTTTTTTGGCCCTGTTACCTATTATATTATGAAAATTGTGTTAGGTTAAATTTTAAACAGTCACCTAAACTGAGTAGTCACTCTGATTGTGAATGTAAAATATGGTTTTGCATATGCAAACCAGCACTTACATGTTCAGCTGCTAAATTTTCCCAGCTAAGTACCTGGATCTGCAGGATTTTGCGTCTGCAGATTAATTTGGATGTGCATTTGTCTTTTCATGAATGATTTTTTTTTTTTTTTTGGCTACGGCATATACTCCTGGGGCCAAGTTCTGGTTTCAGTTACACCGATGTGAATCTTTTTAATTGATGGGTGGAATTTTTCTGGATTTACTTGAGTGTAGTAACCAGATTGTCATTCCAGTCCAGACCAGTGCTCCATCTAGTCTGACATAGCCCAATACCAGATGCTTCAGAGGGAGGTGTAAAACTTCCATAGTAGACAAATATGCATTAACATGCCTGTGAAGGAAATTTCCTTCTAATCCCAGGCAGTTAATAGTTGGTTTACATCTTATAACATGAGAGTTGATATCCTTTATACTTTTTATCCCATCTAGTATAACTGCAAATAATATTCTTATTCAGTTGAATATTTAATTCCTTTTCAGTGATGCTAACTTCATTGCCACACTAAGTCTATGTGTTGTTAAAAAATATAGTATATATACTTATCTCTTTTAGTTTGTTGCTTTTCAGTGTTATTGGATATCACCTTGTTCCTGTATTGTGTGAAAAGATAAATAGGAAAACTCTGTTGACCTTCTCTCTGCCTTTCATTCTTATTTATGTATCTCTGTAATGTCCCCTAATTCCTCTCCTTTCTACTCCTTTTCAGTATCACCTTATTTGGAATTTATGTAATTTATTTACTGCATTTTATTATTGTTCCTATTATCTATATTACTTTTGTCAGTAGGAGAGCCAGGACAGAATCCAAGTCTCTTAGAGTCCCATCCACTGCTTTATCCCTAGGATCACCCTGTCCTCCTCTCTCTCTTCAAGCCTGTAATTCTCTGGGTTGCCCTTCTCTTTCTGCTATATTCTTTTGGAAGCAGGGTTTACAGAAAACTGTGAATGCAGTTTTCAAGGTGTGGGCATAACATTGTTTGTATTATGGAATTATGTTTTAAGTGTTATTCCTTAGTGTTTATCAGCCTAAAATCTTGCTGTTTTTTTTCCCCACTGACCCTGTACTTTGAACACAAGTCTTCATTGAACTGTCCAAAGTGAGGCCCAGATATTTTTCCTCTGTGGGACTGTTAATGTAGAGCCCATCAATGTTTTGAGTAATTAAGATATTTCTTCAGTGTGGATTCCCTTGCATTTGTTGCCATTAAATTTCATGTGCAACTTTTTTGCTCGATCACCTAGGTTTTTAAAGTCCTTCTGAAGTTCCTCGTAATCCATTGTACTCTTGACTCACCTAAAGAATTTTTCCAGTTCACTGTTTACCCTCACATCCAGATAATTATAGAAATCCCAGCCCCCACCCCATTATAACCTCTTTCCATGTTAAAAATATGCCATTTAATCTCTCTTTCTGGTTTTTTATCAGTTTCTGATTCATGATAGTACTTTACCTTTCATCCCTTGACTACGAAGTCCGTAGGGTGACCAGATGTCCTAATTTTATAGGGACAGTCCCGATATTTGGGGCTTTGACTTATATAGGCCAGTTACCTCTCCCCTCCACCCCATCCTGATTTTTCACATTTACTGTCTGGTCACCCTAGGAGGCCTGGTCTACCCACAAAACTTGTACAGTTTACCTATACCACAGCCCCCCTAGTGTGGACACCGTTATACTGGTATAAAGGTGCTTCTACCAGTATAGTTATTTGCATAGGCGAAGGAGTGTGAGCACCTTTATATCGGTATATCTGCATCTACTCCAGGAGCTGTACAAGTAAAAAACCCCAAAATTGTTAAATCAGTACCAAAGCTTTGTGTAGAGCAGTCCTAAGCTTCTTTTAATAATCTCTTGTGAGACTTCAGACAAAATGTGGGTTCAGACAGGTTGAGGAGATGCTGTTTAGAGAAACCATACTAGTTTCTTATCCTATATTCCTCACCCAGTTGTTTTATAACTCTGTATTAAATACAGTTTGCCTAGTTTTGCAGAGAGGCTCGCTGTTTCGTAATTCCCAGGATCAATTCTTGTGCTTTTTTTTTTTTTTTTTTTTTTAAAAGAGAAGAACAGCATTGGCTGATCTGTTCTCTAATGCATTAACTGATTTTAATGAGATTTTACATATTTTTATTGCTTGGCCACTTTATTCTTAAAGTTGAGTATACTTTAGTACTCGTGTAATACTAATTTTCAGTCTGATCCCTCTTCTAAAGATGTTTTTACTTCGCTGTATTACTTTCGACATTAGATACTCAACTACAATTATTTTTTGAACAAATTCCTGTTACTCAGGATTAAATCAAAAATAGACCCTTGTGTGCTTTAGAACTAGCTGTTTCAAGAAACAGAGTAAAACGGAGTAGAATTTGATCCCTTATTTTGAAATTTTACCCCCTACAGTCCAGTATTCCGTATTGTTCAGAATGAAAATTTTTAGCCTAGTCAGGACTCCTGGGTAAGTTATTTAATCAGATTAATTTGTCTAGGATGATTCTTATGTACAGTAGGAAGTCACTTTCATTTTACTTTCAGTACCTTTTTTTGTTGCTTATGTATGAGGATCGAGGCTACGTTATTTCAGGTGCTGTATGCAAACTCAGAACAGTCCTTGCTCCAAAGAGCTTACTTTTTATACTATAAAAATAACAGACTAAAATAGGAAACATGTGACACAAGGATTACAGATGAACTGTTGCAAGAACTGTAGTGCACTGGCAGTAACTATGCTACTTATTCATCATTTGAACTTACCCCCAAACTTGCTCCCTCAGAGTTCACCTCAACCAGCTCAGACTTGTTAAAATGCAACTTGCCTTTGGCTATACTAGAGTTTTAAAACATTTTGGCTAATCCATTCAAATATTCCTCATTGTAGCCTAGTCTACTCAAGCCCTAATACCATATGAAACATTTGATGAAGGGTGAGCAAGATCGGTAATATATAAATATAATGACTTTCCTCAACTGTCCCTCAGCCTAGCTGTTAAATGTTAGCTAATTTCTTCTATATATTATGACAGAATTGTGTCTCTTCAGGCGGGTGTGGAAGAGAGGTTATTAGCTTCATGGATTAATTCTGAGAGTGTGTTCCAACATAAGAAGCAGCATGGAAAAAAGTACAAAGATGTTTGAGAGAGGAGCAGACAAGCAGATGATTGAAGCTGGTATCATTGGCAGAGCAGCAGGGGCACATAGATGTGATGCAATAAGAGGCAAGTGGATAAGTAGGAAAGGGCAGATTTGTGAAGGGCCTTGAAGATAAAAGACAAGACCCTAGGGTTGACATTTCACCCTTGAACATGAATAATTGTAATATTATTTCACAGCTCTGTATCTGCTAGTTATTTTCAAACCATTAATGTATCTTTTTATGTTATGCCAAATGCTGATTCCTGACACCCACGCTGCTAGTTTAGGAATGGTAAGAATGTACACTGGAGGGGAAAGAATTAGAAAATGCAAACCTGTGTTCACTATCTGTATCTAATATTTCTTTTTTTATAGGTGGATGTGTCAGTAGTGCACTTCACCCCTTTGGTGCAACCAAAGATACAGCAACCCTTTAAGCTGGTGGAAAAGGTTGTTAAAAGCGTTTTTCAGTTCAGAAGAAAATACTGCTGGCGGGGAGTGGAGTAAGTAAATTCTTTAACCAGAATTCTCTTTAGAACAATCTTCTTGTTGATGCCTACTAAATCCATCAAGAATAATGGAGCCTTCATTACATATTCTGGGTTTGTTCACTTTATGTAAATTTATACTGCTTACAAGGCATCTCGGTTCATCACGTCTAGCTCTGTAAGTAAGTAACTGACTCAGATAATGACAAAATAGGTTCTGGACAAGAGCCTGTGTGGGTTGTGTCCAAAAGAAAAGGTCTAAAATTCTGAACTGAAGGTAAATTGATTAAATAATGTTTTACTAGCCAGGAACAGGGGAAGAATTATTACTCACAGGGAGGTAATGGGCAAAAAGTGAGATCACCACCTTCACTCTGGGCCCTTCACACAGGGTAAAAAGGCTGCAGCTGTATAAAGACATTCTAAAAGCCCTATTGTAAAAGCTCGGGGAGAATTGTCCAGTGCTGAAACTGAGGAAGACAGCTGTATGCTATTGTTTGAGTACTTGTTCAGACACTAGTATTGGGGGCATACCCACGTCACGGTCAGAGTGCAATGCTGCAGAGGCTCTGGAGGGAGCATTGCTCACAAGAAGCTGGGGCTGGGCTTCTGTAACTTTAGCCAGCCCTGTTGGGTCGTCTAATTATGCGGAGGATCAGCCTAGAATTGCATCTGACTCTGGGTGGCCAGCTCTGTGCTGCAGCACAGTATCTCACCATAGCAGGGGAGTTCCATTTATTCTCTGCGGTGCAGGCAGTTGATTTAAACCCACAGTGCCAGTTTGTCCATGCTAGTGGCTGAGTACGTAGCTCTGGGAGGTGGTAAGTGAACAGGAGGCCAGGCACAGGACGAGCTGGTGTGTGTGGCACACGCTTAGTTCGGAAAGAACTGCTGAGGAGCAGAAAATAAACACATTGCTGTCTTTGTATTTTATGAAGAATGTATTTTCAGAAGATTAAAAAAATCAGTTATTGTTTAATCTCACATTTCTGATACTATTCTAAGTTCTTTGTAAAGGGGGAAAAAAATCTGCATTTTTTTTTGCATGTCTTGTATCCACTAGCAGCTTAACGTGCCTTAGTACTGTGCCTAGCATGTAATTAAGGATCACAATCCTTTTATTGTTCAGCTGGTGAAAGGAAATTAGCAAATTCTAGATGCCAACTCAGGAGTGCTTATAAGTTTTAGATAGTTATATGAAAGCAAGGCGGTAGGCTGAAGGGTTAGTGTCTACTTAAACTGTAAATGTATCAATTCCTTTACATGCCATATGTTCTATAAAGTTGCTAACGAAGTACAGTTTGAGTTACTCTAAATGAGACACAGACCTGTATAGATGTTCAGACTATCTAATGTGACCACCCCAAGCTGCAATATTTTCTATGACAGGTGTATTCTCCCCTTTGAACATTTCAAATCTCAAATTCCATCTCCATGGCCTATCCATCCTTGGCTTCTCTACTGAGCTTGCTAGGCAGTAATGGTGACAGTTGTAACGTGGATCTCTTTCCATGAGAGATGTGATTCTTTTTACTAAGATTACCAAAAGTCATCAAGATGGTAAGTCCTATCACAAAATTTTGATCTGATCCAAATAAGCAATTCTTGTCCTCTCCTTCCTAAATATTACAGATAATTTAAAATGCATATGTCACATTTACACCAGAATATTAAACTGGCAGTCTCCCACTAAATTTGTTTGTTTATTTTCTTAACATCTAAACCTGAGTTGGAAAATTAACTGAAAATTTAAGGAGATCTATTTCTTCTCAGGAAACTAAGTGTTCGAGTTAGGGGTGAAGGAAAAGATTTAGTTCAACATAAGCATATCCCCATGTCTGTGTGCTTTTTTTTAAAAGAAAAAATGTATTTGAATATCTTCCTTGTTCCCTTTTAGAATCCTGTTTCCAGAAGCTGAACGCTTGGAAAAAAGTGAACAGATGCTGATGCTGGCAGATGTGGATCCAACTCTGCGTCCAGCTCAGCTCTCCATTTTACATTTTAAAAACCTGTGCAATGCATACAGGAAAATGTGTGATGAAGACGCAAGCCTTTTCAGTTACAACTACAGAGAAGAACTGAAGCAGAAGAAGAGAACTAGAAAAAAAGGACACTTGGAGCAGTCTGAAAGGGAAGACCAGCTCTAACGTGTCAGACTGTGCATCTAAAAATAAAGTTGTGTGCCTCATTGTTTTAGTAAAAGGAGACATATATATAGATGTGTAATCTTGTGTATATATGTATGTATATAAATATGTTTTCCTTTATTTTTGTTGAAATACTGGGGGAGGGGCCATTCCTATCTTCCTTATTTATTTCATTCTGCTCAGCAGGTTAAGGATCCCATGTTTTGGTGTATCCTTCACTCTGGTCTCTAACTTTACCTTGCTGAATCAGGATCTAAAAGTTTGGGTAGACACATGCTTCAGAACCTTGCTGAATGCAGACCTCTCTGAAATTAATGGGAGTTTTTTGTATGAGTGAGTCCTTAAAGTAAAATTTTACTGACTATTCCGGCATAACAAATATTATGTGATAGTGTTTTTCTCCTTATCCTGGAACACTCTACTGGGCAGAAATCTTGTATTAATGCAAATAGCTTCAAGAATGATTAAGAGTATTAGCAGGCCTTCCGTGCACTTTTTTTATTCCCAAACAAAAGAACTCTGTCTTGAAAGCTCCAGTAGGAGAAAGCTGCAAATAAAGCAAGAAACTAGACAGAATGCTGATTTTTCTTTTACTGTACAAGTTGGTAGAGAAAATAAAAATACAATCAAATAAAAGATTACAGAACACGCTTTGTTTTTATATTTACATATATATAAAGTTAACAGCATCTTGCAACTTACAAAAATGACTCATGCACTCTTGTGCACTAAAACACCTTAAAATAACTTAATTCTGCTTTAAATAAAGCAAAAATTAAAACTGCTGAAAAAAATGCCCAAAGGAAAAGTTGTTTTGACTTTTTCTTTTTTTTTTTTTTTAATAAAGATCACAATTCCCCCAGCACCTTTTCCACATAACTTAAAATAATTAGAATGTACCTTTTTAAAGGACACAACATCATCTGGCTAACTGCTTAAAAAGGATAAACTAATTTACAGACTCGGGCCAGCTTAATCTATTTTTCTTGATCCACAATAAATTAAAATAACTTAAGAATCCTTTACAACTATATTTTTGTGGAAAAATGTATTAGTGCACAAAACCAACAGTAGTTTTTCAGCAATTTCCACATAATCACTAGTTTTAAAGCAAATCAAGTAAGTCAAATTTTATGTGGATATTAAAATTTTAAAGAACCTGTTAAATCATATAGCACTCACAGCTAGGATTTTCCATGCCTCTCCACTGTTTCATAAAAGCAGTCCTCATTAACTACAGAAGCTAAACTCTGGACACTAAATTCCCTCTCTAAAATAGAATTCAGATCCAAGTTTGCACTGTCAGAGTGACCATCAAGAGAATGGTGATGTTCCTGCATTGCCAGTAACGTTCCCATGTTATGCTTTGTGGTGTTTGCTTTTCGTTTAATTGGACAGAAATGCCCACGCACCAGCTTTGAATGTTCTCCTGCCTTATAACCATCCCCAGCCTCTTTTTCAGGGAGTAGCTTGTGCTCTATGTCAGCACTGGGCTCCTCTGAAATCTTCAGCCGCTGGAACTGTATTTCAATGTCCCTTGTAGGGCTGCCCTTCTTTAGGCTTTGCTGATAGTCATCCTCATCATCACTGAGAATATCCGATTCCTTGACAAGGTTGTTGGAAAAATCTGATGTGCAGCTTGGAAAGTGTTTCAGAGGAGATGAAGTTTTTGATTCCTGTATGCTTTCTGTGGTATGGCAGCTGCTACTCTGAGTACTGCTACTCAGGCTGCATTCATCAGAATCCCGTAAGTTTCCTTTCAGTGTATCATTGTTCCACTCATTACTGGAGGAATTCTTCAATACCTTTAAGGATCTTGTGGAAGCTGCAAGTATAAAAGACAGTCTTATTTTTGCATTAAAACAGCTTTCACAAAACAAGGGAGTTATACAGTATCCCTCAGCAGCATAATCATAAAATCTTATGGCTTTCTGATTTATAATGTAATTAGTCCCATTTTGACTAAAATGTATTGTATCCTCTGAGATCAGACTGCTGGTATTGACAATATTTGATTTTATATTGCTCTAGTAGTTGTAAAGTTACTGCGTATTTGGTATATGCAAAATCCTTCATAAAGCCACAGATATGGTTTGCAAAGCAACAAATCTAAACACTTGTGAGGCTGGGTCAGTTACCCAGTGTATTGTATGGCCAAGCACCATCTGAGTCCAAATTCATTTTTCTTTCAGTTGCTTCCCATGATGCAAGAGGAATGTTTCAGTCATAATTGTTTCAACTCCAGGTAGAGGACTTGCAGTATTTGCAACACAAGTGGCCAATTTATAGATTTCTAGGCCAGAAGGCTATTGTCTAGTCTGACCCTCTGTATAACCGGGCCACAGAACTTCCCCCAAATAATGCCTAGAGCATATCTTTTAGAAGAACATCCAATCTTGATTTTTAAATGGTCCGTGATGAAGAATCCACGTTCCAATGGTTACTTATTCTCATTGTTAAAAATTGATACTTTATTTCCAGTCTGAATTTATCTAGCTTCAACTTCTAGCCACTGAATTGTGTTACACCTTTCTCTGCTAGACTGAAAGCCTCATTATTAAATGTGTGTTCCCTGTGTAGGTACTTAGACGGTAAATTACCCCTTAACTTTCTCTTTGTTAGACTTAAGGAGATCAATCTATTTAGCTATCACTATAAGGTATGTTTTATAAGCCTTCAATCATTCTTACGGCTCTTCTCTGAACCTTCTCCAGTATATCCACATCCTTCTGAATTGTGGATGCCAGAATTCGACAAAGTATTCCAGCAGCACTCACACCAGTGCCAAAAACACTTAAAATAACCTCTGCTACTCGAGAGTCCCCGTTTATGCACCCAAGGATCACATTTGGCCACAGCATCACACTGGGAGCTAATGTTCAGCGGATTATCCAGCAGGACCCCAAATCCTTTTGCACATAGCTGCTTCCCAGGAGCAAGTCCCCAATTGTATAAGTACAGCCTACTTTCTTTGGTCATAAATGTATACATGTACTTTTAGCCATATCCAGCACTAGAAAGCAGTGCTCCAAAGAAGTCCTGTATTTCACCAAAAAATGCACTGATAAAGCACTCCGAGGTGGAGTGGATAGATGCTGTGAGGGAACAAGCCCTCTCTACCTTGCCTCACTTCCCTCTTTTCACTTCACTTCCTGCTCTGTTGCGTGAGCTTTGGATAATGGTAGGACTAAACCAGTAAAGAAAGCCAAACATCACTTAGGGAACGCCTCGTAGTGGATGGAAGGGCAAATCCCTTTCCACCCAAAGTAATTAATTTGACCTACACTAGGTCTGTTGGTGGAAGGAAGCTGAATGGGGTAGATTTAGGGTGGGGGACACAAAGGGGGTAAGCGGCAGCAGTTCTGTGGCATACTTCTGCTGCTCCCTTAACCCCAAATACATCACAAGAAGGATTATAGGGAGGTAGATTTTCTCTGTGGCAGTGTCCCTGCCTGGGGATATGACGACAAAAATTAATGCTAACTGTTAGCATCTTATGTTGCTCCTCCCACTGTGATACCCCCCTGAGTGAGGAAAGTATGGCAGCTGTTAGCCCCACCCCTCAGAGAAGGGATGCCCTAGGATTAGTGAAAACAGTTGGAGAGCCATGGGATTTTCCAGAAGATCTCAGGCCAGTGGCAGGTTCCACAAGCCAAGGCCCCTCTCTGTTCTGCCCAGAGTTGGGCAAACTCCAGACTGCTCCACTGGCAGAATTGTATTTGAGGGTCTACACCTCTGTATGGGCTTTTTTTCCCACGGGGGGGATGAGGGATAATAACTAGGGCTGTCAATTGCAGTTAACTCTCGTGATTAATTGCAGTTTTAATCACCTGTTAAACAATAGAATACCAATTGAAATGTATTAAATATTTTGGATGTTTTCTACATTTTCATATATATTGTATTCTGTGTAGTAATTGAAATCAAAGTGTATTATTTTGTATTACAAATATTTGCACTGTAAAAATAGTATTTTTCAATTCACCTCATACTAGCACTGTTGTGCAATCTCTATCATGAAAATGCAACTTACAAATGTAGATTTTTTTTTTGGTTACATAACTTCACTCAAAAACAAAACAGAGTAAAACTTCAGAACCTACAAGTCCACTCAGTCCTCCTTCCTGTTCAGCCAATTGCTAAGAGAAACAAGTCTGTTCACATTTATAGGCGATAACGTTGCCCTCTTCTTATTTACAGTGTCACCAGAAAGTGAGAACAGGTATTTGCATGGCACTTTTGTAGCCGGCATTGCAAGGTATTTATGTGCCAGATATGCTAAACATTCGTATGCCCCTTCATGCTTCGGCCACCATTCCAGAGGACATGCTTCCATGCTGATGATGCTAGTTAAAAAATAATACATTAATTAAATTTGTGACTGAACTCCTTGGGGGAGAACTGCATGTCTCCTCCTCTGTTTTACCTGCATTCTGACATATATTTCATTTTATAGCAGTCTCGGATGATGACCCAGTGCGTGTTGTTCATTTTAAGAACGCTTTCACAGCAGATTTGTCAAAACGCAAAGAAGGTACCAATGTAAGTTTCTAAAGCTACAGCACTTGACCCAAGGTTTAAGAATGTGAAGTACCATCCAAAATCTGAGAGGGATGAGGTGTGGAGCATGCTTTCAGAAGTTTTAAAAGAGCAACACTTTGATGCGGAAACTACAGAACCCGAACCACCAAAAAAGATCAACCAGCTGCTAGTGGGATCTGACTCAGATGATGAAAATGAACATGAGTCGGTCTGCATTGCTTTAGATGGTTATCGAGCAGAACTCGTCATCAGCATGGACGCATGACCCCTGCAATGGTGGTTGAAGCTTGAAGGGACATATGAATATTTAGCGCATTTGGCACATAAATATCTTGTGACGCTGGCTACAAGAACGCCTGTTCTCACTATCAGGTGACATTGTAAACAAGAAGCAGGCAGCATTATCTCCTGCAAATGTAAACAAACTTGTTTGTCTGAGCGATTGGCTGAACAAAAAGTAGGACTTAGTGGCTCTAAAGTTTTACATGGTTTTATTTTTGAATGCAGGGGTTTTTTTGTACGTAATTCGACATTTGTAAGTTCAACTTTCAGGATAAAGAGATTGCATAACTACTTTTATTAGGTGAATTGAGAAATACTATTTTTATTTTTTACAGTGCAAATATTTGTAATCAAAAATATAAAGCAAGCACTGTACACTTTGTATTCTGTGTTGTAACTGAAATCAATATATTTGAAAATGTAGAAAACATCCAAAAATATTTAAATAAATGGGATTCTATTATTGTTTAACAGTGTGACTAACTGTGCGATTAATCACGACAAAAAATTTTTAATTGTGTGACAGCCCTAATAATAACTGGCACTTTTGGTATGAAGCCTCCCTACCAAAAAGTAAATTATATTTTAAAATATGAATTACAGTAAAAATACACCACACTCTTCATGCCTAGAAAGAGAAGTGGTTTGGCTCATGCTATAATAATCATGAAACTGCAAGTCTGTATTTCCCAGTCTAGCAAACTGACTCTTACCCAGTTTGGCTGAAACAGGGATGCGGTTCTTGAGTGGAACTAGGCGATCTTTACACGTTTTCTCCAATGGTGACTCACATTTTATGTGACGTCTGAAGTTCTCCCGCAGAA